ATTAAAGCACTGGAAGCGGTTCAGAGAAGAGCCACCAAGCGAGTCATCGGGCTATAGCAACTGAGCTACGGAGATAGACTTCAACGACTCAGCCTCTTTACCCTTTCTTACAGGAGGCTGAGAGGGGACTTAATATTCATACACAAAATAGTATCAACACATTGTCACCCAAACAGCGAACTAATAGTACTATTATTGCACCGACAACTGCGAGGAAACTCTAAGACCATCTTGCATCAGCAGAGTAGCACTAACAGCAGACGGCTGCACTTCTCCATCCGGGCCACATCCGCTTGGAACTCATTACCCGAGGAAGTGGTCTCTGCGCCTACGACAGCGTGCTTCAAGCAAAAACTAGATAAATTTGCCATGAACGTCACCTCGGCAGTGGACAGCAACTTTGAGTACCCTTGAAGTAATCTCAGGTGGACCGCAATTCGGTTCAGATAACTGACAACAGGTAACTAACCTGCTACACCGACAAGAAGCACCCTACTAACCTGTTTCTTTTCTTTTCTTTTTGCTTACATTTTCAGATTACAAGAACAAACGAATTAAAAACAGAAAATTCCGAACATTAGACTTTACCGTATTGATCAAGAAACAGGCAATACTACAAGCCAACGAGCTTTCTCCGCCTGTAAACTGGACATTGGACATTGGACCTCACCCGGTTCATTCGTGTTCAATCGGTATTTAGCGGTATCTTTAAATATTTGCGTTGCCATGCTGGTGAGTTTGTTTCCTTTGATGTTTGTGTATTACTCATGGAAGACGTGAATAATGATTTCATTTTCTTCCCTTAGCAACCAGCTCGAATCATCCTATTAAAAGAAGGCACTGATACCTCTCAGGGTATCCCACAAATAGTGAGTAACATTACCTCCTGTGAAGCGGTTGCCGATGCCGTTCGTTCCACTTTGGGCCCTCGGGGAATGGATAAGATGATCATAGACGATCGCGGAAAGGCTACGATATCCAATGACGGAGCCACCATTTTGAAGCTTTTGGATGTTGTGCACCCCGCGGCGAAAACGCTGGTTGATATCGCGCGTGCTCAGGATGCTGAGGTCGGTGACGGCACTACTACGGTGACTATTCTGGCTACAGAATTCCTCAAGCAAGTAAAACCATTTTTGGAAGAAGGAGTTCACCCCACTGTAATCGTTCGCGCCTTCCGTATTGCGGAGAAAATGGCATTGAAGAAACTCGATGAGCTGGCCTGTCATATTCGAAAAGTTGCCCCGAGGTAAAGTCTACCACATACACATTTAAACTTTTTCAGTGAACAAAGACAAATGCTGGAGAAATGTGCGGCAACTTCCCTTAGTTCGAAGCTCGTCGCAGCACACAAAGGGTTCTTCGCTAAGCTGGTTGTTGACGCCGTCACCGTTTTGGACGCTCACCTGCCTATGAAAATGATCGGCATAAAAAAGGTAGTTACGTTTTACAGTTTTTTCATCGCATTTTGATGGATATTTCGTGATGTTTTTCTCTGGATAATGTGACCAGCAGCCAAGTGCCCTTTTTGCGCTTAGGCTTGTCCACTTACTCATGCTTCCGATGCATGCTTTTATGCTTATATCGGTACCCGACGAATATCAATAATCACTCAACTCCATTTGGCACGATGATGTCAACGTAAACTCTACGACCATGTCTCCCGTGTCGGTCTTCGACGATCCTGCGCATTGTGTAACTAACTCCTACATTTTATCACACATTGAGCCCACTTCGTGTAAGGCGAATCCACGATGAGCAGGCCGGGTTTCGTGCACGTGCACATCAAATCTTCACCCTTCGTTATCTACTAAAATACCGCCACGCATAGCCATACACCATCGTCGTGTTTTTGGACATCAGAGTGGCCTTCGATTCCATGGATCGCCCTGCGCTGTGGAACTTTGCGTAGATCCGCAGTACCTGAGATGTATGTTATCCTTCTAAAAGCACTACCACTAAACCTCAAGGAAGGTTAGAAACCATGGTGAACCTTCACCCTATTTTCCTGTCACCAATAGGGTACGACAAATGATCTGCAAAACTTATAAAGAAAACTGCCGTCGAGCTTCGGGAAGAAGAGAGCCGTAAACGTGTAGTATGCTTATGGTATTGCCTGACTGGAAAAGTGGTAGAGGAAGTAGACAAGTTTGACAATCTATATATATCTCACCTGGCGGACGCATCATAAATGAAGTGTCGGCGCGCATCCAAAAGGCTCGTTTGGCCAACTTGGGACATTTGTGGCGCCGTCGCGACATCCGACCGTCCATGAAGGATAGAGTATATGCTGCAGCAGTTCTACCAGTGCTGCTTTACGGTGCAGAGACTCGGCCACTACGGGAAAAGGATGGAAATGGATTGTCGGTGTTCAAACACCGTTGTCTACGCCGCATTGCACAAATCTGGTGGGGTCATCGGTCGAACAATGCTGAGGTTAGACCTGACATTAAGGTATGAAAACCCTAACCAGGAGTCTGGGTCACATAGGTTCCGTTAGGCTCCCTGGATGGGGACCTCGACATAATCGTACCCGATGGTTAGACACTGGCATCCGTCGGGATTCCTCGGTTGGGCCTCAAAGATTCAGATTGCCTTAGGCTGGAGACTGCGGCCATATAGCATTAAACCGAAGTCAGTGGCATGAATGCATTCTTTTCTGTGTGGGATCCCCAAATTAAAAGTCGTGCAATAAACAAACAAAGTTTGTTCTCAAAATTGATTTTCCGTGTTCCTGTATTTTGCGTTGAACCCATAGTTATTTTGGCGCGGTATCTGTAAAGATTGTCGTTATATCATAATATCAGCTCCGCTTGTCCGGTGTCTCCACAAAATATATATCTTGTGAAGCAATCGGACAAGCAGTGCTGATGTTAGGTGCAGGATTTTGGATAGGTGCGGTCGTTCACTGAAGCAACTAGTCGCCCTCCGTGGACTACGGTCTTTGGGACATCTGTTTCGGAAGTCATCAAATAGGTTTTCACGGTGGGTGATGTTTGCCGAGACAGGTAGTGGGTTGAAAAAAGCCAAAGGGTCAAAATAATACCTGGTACGAAAATATGGAAACCTTAACCAGGAGACTCCGTAATATAAGCCGCATCATGCTCCGGGAACCTCGGGATGATCGTAAACGATGGTTAGAGATACTGAGTGACGCAGACAGTCATGCTCGTGCATCTACCCAATATTGTTGCAACCACGGTCCATATCAATTTTCTATCTTCCCCTTGAATTTGCTCTCAATATTGCAATCTTCATCCTTCTCTTTTATTCAAATGCGCGACCAAAAGACAGCAACCAAAACCGGTGCACGAAAGTGCTTGGTCAGTTGTTGTAAAAGTTCAGTTGAACGTTTGAAACTTGACCTCTTCAATTAACTTAGAGATGTGACGTGAGCACCACTGGTCAGCAACCGCTTGGTTCCATTCTAAAGAGGGTTGTCGCCGGAAACGTCTTGATTGCAAACATCTTGGTTGCACAACTAAGTGTGACCTGTAGGGTAACGGTAGAATCGTGTTGGGAGCCGGTGATCGTCAAAACGGTTTTTGCGTCTTCCGGATGGTGCAGCGTCAATCCAGTATCCTCAATGTCTCCGAAGTTTAAAAGTCGGTGACTACTGCTTAGCTTGTACACTTCTCACTATTCGTCCTGTCTGAGTGAGTAGGCAATTTTCACTGGCTCTATTTGGTGGCAGGCCACATACGCCCACTTCACAATGCTATCAACAGACCCTTTTGGATTTTACAGCGGGATTCCTTTCCAGCCGGAAAGTTCAACGTGTCCTCGACGATCGCTGCTGATTTTCCGCGACCGGTTACTTACTACGGTGACCCTCACCTAGTCCCGGTTAACTACTAAATTAGACTTCTACTCGTGATCTGAGGACACGCTCGGTAGCACTCAGTTGTGCTATCCATATCCAATCCTTAGGCTACAGGCCGAGATCTTGGTAGGTCTCCGTGTTTTCATACAAAAATTATGATCTACAATGCTCAATCTCCCAAGCATTCAAGCTGTTTATGTTCGGCAACGCTGTGCATCAAGCTATGTTTGGAGTTTGAACCCGCCTTCGCCATAACAACTTCTTCGTTGTCTGCCTCAATACTACAATTATTTAGTTTTCCACCGCCGCCCAGATTTTAAATTGCTATTGTTGCACAAGTTGAGTAGCATGATCGAAAGGTGAACTGTTTTAAGAGTGTGATCGGCGGTAGAGTTAATCACAATTTCATTGTGGTTATGCACTTAAACGATTCGGTTAGTAAACGGGGTGGAGAGTGCTCCAAAATTTTAGGGAAATAGGATTGGAGTCCAACCCTGAAACAGTATCACACATACTTGTTATAGGTGACTTACCGCGTGAACTCTTGACTGATGAAAAATTGTGAGAGGAACAAGAGCAACTGAAGTAACCTCAGAGATGTAAGAAAAAAAAACAGTTGAAAGAAATGTTAATCGTTGAAATATTGGCTGCAAATTGATTGTCGAGAAGCGGTCGAATGAAACAATAATTAGGAAAATGCGTCAATCACGTTACTTGGTTAATCAAGTGATGGGAATGAGTGGGTGAAAGTATCTAACTTGAGAAACATCACTCCTCGCCGGCAAAGTTTCATACGTCTCATCAGAGAACGCACGGAAGACCTGATTACCGACCAAACTCGGCTCACGAGACCAAACAACCGTTACTAGCAATGTAGATGGAAGGTTTTCGAGGTGAGCATCTAAATGATTAAAATATCGAACTAGATACGTATGACGTATAAATGCTTTTCACCACACGGCAAGATTTGAAGGGCTGGATCACTGAATACGTCGTTACATGCTTCGATTAGATACGGCGCATTTAAGGACTTACCTAACTATGCAATCCACTCATCCATGTCACTGCTAGATTTACCCAAACAGTCGACCTTTAGTCCCTCCCCCCCGACCAAAGCTCACTCGATCTACGGCAAACAGCGCGGCGTTTTCGAGAACAATGGGGCGGATGGTTTAGGATCCCATCTCATCGTAGTCCACATTCTTTCAGAAGAATTCATTAAAATACTACTTTCCTCCATGTATGTGCTGATATGGATGGAACCAAACGGTTTAAGAGGTGGTCACTGCGTAGGGTTCCATATACTGCCAGACAATTCCATATTGTTGCGTATTAGTCCATCGTCGTATATACTTTCATTTCAGACTAGGCAATTTACATAGTTTAAACCCCGCAAATTGTATACCTTCGATTCATCGAGCGGATATAGTGGCTATACTTGAAATATGGTTCGGGACAATATCACTCCTAACAAAATATTTCATTTTTACCTCTATCGTACAAACATTGCGACTTTTAAAAGTCAGGTTTGCTCAGCGGGATATAGAGCGAAAAAATGACAATATCATACAATATGTTTGGTTCTACTTTACTCCCCAGGTATCTGGAGGCGCATTGGAAGACTCGTTTCTCATTGCTGGGGTTGCTTTCAAAAAGACGTTTAGCTATGCGGGCTTTGAAATGCAACCAAAGTCTTACAAGTCCCCGAAGATTGCTCTTTTAAATATTGAACTGGAGTTGAAGGCGGAGAAGGAAAATGCTGAAGTTCGTGTGCATTCCGTAGAAGAATATCAGAAAATTGTGGATGCTGAGTGGCAGATTTTATATGAGAAGCTCGAAATACTGCATAAAAGTGGCGCGAAAATTGTTCTTTCCAAATTACCCATCGGGGACGTAGCCACACAGTATTTTGCCGACCGTGATATGTTCTGTGCGGGTCGCGTCCCCGAAGACGATTTGTCTCGCACACAAATGGCCTGTGGTGGAAGTGTCCAAACGACAGTACAAGGACTCGCTGAAAGTGCACTCGGTACTTGTGAAACTTTTGAGGAGGTACAAATTGGCTCTGAGAGGTAATGTTTTGTCAGTTGTTCCACACGTCTTTTCACTGTTTATTTATTTGATCAAACATTACAGAAATTTTCTGCATAACCTCATCGTCCACCGAACTTGTAACATTCAAATTGCAAATTACAACCAAATAATGACAGCAGGCGTGTGCGTGTGAGTAGCTCAAAAAGGGAAATTACGTCGTAACTAGTCAATTGGTCTATTGTCTTGGATGAGAATCTCCAAATCAATGTAATCGAGAGTTTATATGAATGTATGAAGGGCACGCAAAGCGCACTTGATAGACTAACAAGTGTGATTGTCACTTTCGGTGCTTTGCACCTTCAAAGTGCAAAGTGATGCTGTACTACCGGGTGTTGTCTAATCCTACTGAAACTAAACGCTCAAGAAATAATTATAGTAGATTACTATTGGTACTTGGGTAGTTCCGTAACCAATGACGGAGGCACAACAAAGAATTACCGCTCGCGTTTCCATGGCTCGAGTAGCATACGCAGTATTAAAGCACCTTTCGCGTAGACGCTACTTCTCACCGGAATAGGAGGGTCGTGTATATTTTGCCACCGTCCGTTCAGTTCTGCTTTATAGTTGAGAGACCTTGAATTTGCGAGTAGAAGGTCTCCATCGACCAAAAGTTTTCGACTATCGGTGTTTACGTAGTTTAGCCCACGTAAGATGAAGCAAACAGGTTAGTAATCTAGAGGTGAGCCGTCGTGTGTTTGGAAGTCTATCAGGTATAAACCTGCTACCACATCAAATTCCATCAGTAGACTTCGCTGGCTAGTGCACGTATTGTGTGTGCTCAGCTACCGTCTACCACACCGTGCTTTATTCGCTGTATTCGCTTCGGGTTGGAGGAACCCACGTGGAGGTCAACAGATGACGTGGAGATGAGGCATGAAGAATTGCACACAGCCATTAGAGTAGGTTTCTCGTATCTTCCAGGTTGGGATTGGAAGACTCCACGACCGGTTGGTTGGAGACACTAAAGGACATTGCAGCGAACCGACAGCAGTGGCATTGTTGTCGTTTCTTATCAGGTCAAAATGCTTGAAATGGTATATATGCAGAG